ATCTATATTACTTTTATACATTAACGACAAAAGTATCAAATCAAGATTTGAGATATTGATGACATTTGATTGAAAGAAACTCCGTCACTCCTTTTAATCGTTTTACAAATGTAAGTAGTTCCATTACACCCCCTCCATGTGAGGTGAAATCAATCAAGAAAAGTAAAATAAAATATAGCCAAGAAATTATAATAGATTAGTAACATAATACCAAGAAGTTTCCAACAGAAAAGATATTAAAATGATTTTAAATTCACATTTACTATCAGTTCGTAAGTCAAGGGCGTAGAGCGGGCAAGAAACTCTTTTTAATCGCCAAGTTTTGAGTCATACAAATTGTTTGTAAGGCAGTGCAGCCATAAATATTTGAACTGGAGCAAATCAATCCTAAGGATTAGGATCATTTAAATAATCGTCAAATTGATGAAAAGCTTTATTGATTAATTTACATTTAACGAGAGTTTTGAATTTATTCAGTGATAATTCTCTATTATATATTAACTATTTTAGGGTCTAGCTCTAGAGTCACCGGTACTATCTACCAGGCGCTGGCGCCTGTGCACTTAAACCCCACGGCCCAAGAGTCTCTACTCTAAATGGAATAAAAAAAGTTGGAGGAAAGACTCTTATTTTCATTTATTCATCTATATTACTTTTATACATTAACGACAAAAGTATCAAATCAAGATTTGAGATATTGATGACATTTGATTGAAAGAAACTCCGTCACTCCTTTTAATCGTTTTACAAATGTAGTAGTAGTTCCATTACACCCCCTCCATGTGAGGTGAAATTAATTAAGAAAAGTAAATAAAATATAGCCAAGAAATTATAATAGATTAGTAACATAATACCAAGAAGTTTCCAATGCTAAATGTTGCGCAATTTTCATAGTCTGTGGCATATTAATAATCTGTGGCAGAACTAATTTCGCGCGTTTTTATTAATTGGTACTAGATAATATTAATATGTATTATTACTAGAAACTAAAAATCATGGAACAAATGTTAAAAATATTCATTATCTATATCTATATACATTTCTATATTACATCAGTAAGTTTTTCGAGTTCGCCTTATGAACTTCAGCCCCAACAGAAACTATTTCAACTTAATTGTTTACACTTCTAAACTAAAATACGGAACGATAAAAGAACTAGTTTCGAGAAATAATTCTTTGTTTTCGTTTCCTTTCTCGATTGAGATGTATGTGGAGTGAATTAAAACACTTTATTTTCTTTATTAAGCCTAAGGATTGCGTAATTAATAGCATTATAGAAGTGTGGATTAATACTTTTGTTTTTCTATTATTTAGTTTTTTGGCACTTTATTTTAGTAATTAACAATTTTATGTATGTTTAAGTTAACTGCTGTTTTCTTTGTATGCCTTGAGTTAATTGCCAGTTCTTCTCTTTCGTTCTACGCCCTTGATTTGAGAACTGGCAGTAAATGTAAAATTAGAAGCATTTAATGTATATTTTTTGACGTTCATAAGTGTACATTGTGTTACCTACATGAATAAATGATTTTTGACTTTGACTTTGACTTGTTTTCCATGTCAATGTCAGCTGTCAATTCAAACATAACGCATTTAAAGTAAATGTGTTGCTTCATTTCACTTATAATAACTATATATCAAACAATGTCAGATTAAAATTTCTAAATTTATTTGTTAATGCAAGTAGATGATCAGCCATTTGTTGGGTCTATACGTTTATAGCGATAAAATACAATGGTGCAAAACCAGGATTTTAACATCCTGGCCATCCTAAAAATATGCTTTTAAATATATCAAATTCGTGGACTCCAACCAACTAGTACTCCATAAGCCGTACTCCGTAGCTCTGATGTTACACTCTCAGAATCGCGTATCAGCTATTTTTACTGTAAAACTGGTAGTTATTTTGCGTTATTATGTGGCACTAAAAGCATAATCAATCACCTCAAATGACAATACGTCATCTGCTGGAAACTCACTCTGAAACTTCCGGCTCTGAAATTGACGACACCTAAACGCCATTTTATACCTAATGGGCCATAGGGTAAACGTATACTTCATGGGCATACGGTAATTGTAACTTTTCGTTATTAAAATTTCATTTGCATATCTTGACTTTTTTTTTATTTATTGAAATGAAACTTAGGGGAGAGAGAGAGTGATTGAGACCGATTGATAGAGTGAGAAGGGTAAAAACCTTTTAGAAATTCTATTTTTAAAATTAAAATTTCGTAAAGAGAATTTATGAAATGTTAGTATTTTAAATTTTATGCAAATACTTTATTGACATCTCAAATGACGAATTGTAAATTAAAATTGTGTTTTTAAATTTAAAAAATTAAATTTATTATTTGTATTAATTTTCGACACTTAATATTTTAATGACAATTAAATTCCTAACATATCTTTCTTTTTCTCTCCCTCTAAGGCTCGGAAATCTATATAAATATGAACAAGAGTTAAAAATTAGTTTGCTAAAGAAGTTTCACTTCTGACATGATGTGTACTTTGTACGCACGCACTTTTATTTTATTAGACTATAGCTCCATACAAAAATTAGTAAGTTAATTAGTTACTTAATATGAGTATTAGTATAAATTGTAAAAAATTGTTTTTTTAGTTACGGTCTAGTATTCTATGTCCCGTAACGTAAAAGCCTCTTCTATATTGTTTCATTACTCTATCTTTTTTTCTCCGATTTTTCTCAATGCAATATTCTAGTTGTCTTTTTAATAATTGTGACGTGGAGCGCCTTTTATTTTGTTATTACTGTCCAGCCTTGCGATTCTTTAACTCACTTTTCGAACTCTCACAGCGGTTTTCACAACGGCGTACAAGCTCCCTCCTAATAGTCCCGCGAGTTATAGAATTGCAAGGCAGTTCTTCGTTTTTCATAGGTAATGGTGGGTGGTCGCTTTTTCCGCGGAGACTAGCTATATTGGGGTGTATTTTGTTAACGTAATTGTTATTGTTGTATTATCTTTTCTTTCCGGTATACTGTGTTTTTATCTTCTTATTTAGTTGGTAGATTCTCCTGGCTTTCATTTACGACAATATAATTAGACTAAAAAAAGCCGGCAACAGCTAAACGGTTAAATAATGGCAATTATTTATATTTTAAGAGCAATATGAGAGACCATGGGAGATAGTATCACTTAACATCAGATGAGACTCCTGCCCGTTTGCCTCCTAATACATAAAAAAAAGCTTTTCAGAAATTTATAATCTTACTAGCTGACCCGGCAAACGTTGTTTTGCCATGTATATCAATTATAATAAAAAATAGGGGTTGATCGTAGAAGGGTGAAAGTTAGGGGTTGTTTGTATTTTTTAATGCTGTATCATAAAAATGAAATAAAAATAATTTATCTAAGAATTAAAAAATGATAATTTAGGGGTGGACTACCCTTAAAAATTAGGGGGATGAAAAATAGATGTTGTCCGATTCTCAGACATACCCAATATGCACACAAAATTTCATGAGAATCGGTCGAGCCGTTTTGGAGTTTAACTACAAACACCGCGACACGAGAATTTTATATATTTTTTTTTTTTTTTTTAATGGCTTTTATTTGTGCCAACTGGGCACAAGGTACTTCGCCAGTGTCGTGTAGATGGAGAAGGCACGATGGAGATTGATCGGTGAAAATAATAATTAAGTTAATTTTGAATATGCACCTAAACAAAAACAAAATAGTTGCAATTCGATTGTTAGTTTTAAGACGGCACAGACAACACAAATATGAGTGAGTAATAATAACATTATTAAATACTGTTTCCTATTTATAATAATTTTTATATATATTACACTTTAATTTTATTGCTTTCTATATATTTACATAAAAATCTACAATATGGACTAAACACAAACATTAACAAACATTTAACACTTAAAGGACGGGGGGACTTTACGGGGAAGAACGTCATAGAGAGGATAGGTTAGTTTGGGACAATTAAATAGAATGTGAGATACAGTGCCTTCATCCAAGCCACACTCAAATTTTATATATTAGATTAAATCATTACTTGTCAACATGGTTTCATTAATTGACGTTAGTTTTTTCAAATTGTCAAATTGAAACCATGAAACATTCTGGAATCCCGATACTCGCGAACAAACTTAAAAAGTTTGATGATACTTATATATAAAATATGAAATTAACTATTTAAAACTTTTAATTTGGGAATACAATACGCAGTTATCATAAAAATTAATCGCATTCACACTACGTGATTGGAATAATTCCTTAATCCAGTAACAGATGGAATTCATTATATAAATCCTTATAATTTTATTTATAAATGCAATGAAAACGCATATATTGCACAGACAATAAAAACATTAATCCCATTATGTACTTGACAATATGTAAAACTGAGCATAGCGCCATCTAGGGCTCGGTAATATAAACAAAAAATAACAACAAAAGAAACTATTTACAATGTTTTTTTTATTATTGTCTATTTCACTGTTTAAAATAAAATAAATAAATCAGTGGCGCTACAACCACTTAAGGTCTGGGCATCATATTTCTGAATCTGTTTCATGATGATTTTTCTATCTAATAATAGGCAAGTAGGTCCAGTGCCTGACACATGCCGTCGACTTTTTTTTGGGTCTAAGACATGTCGGTTTCCTTACGATGTTTTCTTCACCGTTCGAGCGAATGTTAAATGCGCACATAGAAAGAAAGTCCATTGGTGCACAGCCGGGGATCGAACCTACGACCTCAGGTATGAGAGTCGCACGCTGTTCCATTAGTTTTGTCTAAGTTATTTTATATTCTATGTAGTTTTGTACTTCTTCCCTATCTTATTTAATTTTTCATCTCACAGTGATTGCCTGGAGGAGATCGCTCTAAAGCGGCTTCTAGTTGCCCTCCTTTTTATTTAATTTTACTGTATTTCTGTCTGTTAGGAAATAAATAAAATAATTGTAGACCTCACAAGCTATATTTAAACCCTTTTTTCCAGGTGACAGAAGGAACTGACAGTTGTTTAAAATGGAGGGCGTCAGGGTAACCCACCAAGGGCTGAAGGCTCACACGCCCGAAGGTTCAGCGGGTCGTATCACGCAGGCCGGGCTGGCAGCTCGCAGTCCAGAAGGAACTGCAGCAAAGGCCATGGCCATAAAAGGCCATGAAGATCTATGGGTTGAGATCCAGGCGAATACGTTCCGAAATTGGGTTAATGAGACATTAAAACCTGTGGATATAAAGGTAATGGTGATGTTACTATTTGATTGATTGTAAAAAGGTGGTTTAATTGTTAGACCGGCAACGCACTTGCGAGTCCTTTAGAATTGAGAGTGTCCATGGGCACTTAACATCAGATGAGCCTCCTGCCCGTTTGCCCCCTGTAATATAAAACAAAATAAAAAAAGATGTGTGTGTACTTATGTACACGCGTTAGAAGTTATACTTCTTTGGCGTAACAAAATAAAAATCTTTTCAACAATTTTATTCTACGTTTGTACAAAAAACTACTCTAACAATAGAAAAAAGGTATTTAATATATTGAAAGTTTTATTATAACGCATTATCTAGTTAGATAAAGTTTATTTAGATATCACAAAAACTAAAATGTTGACTATAACTTCAGTGTGTCGGTTTTTTGTGACGGTGTGCGCGCGCACCGTACTTACCCTCATAATTTTTCTCTAACGCACCAAAAGCACTATAACTTCAAAAATGTTTGCTAGATGCTTTAATAATAGCGCGGATATCTGGATACAAATTATAGTTTTGTGAATAATTGTAATTAAATTTAATTTTTTTCTATCAAGTCCAATAAACACGTTTATATACCTAATAGATAATTTCTACCCTTTGGTTGATATTTCTATAGAAAATTCTGTCAAAAACAGTTTCCTCATTCAACCCAGACAAAGTTGCTAGCCAATAGAATAGAATATACCTTATGTGTGTTTCTAATCATGGATGTTCTGTTCACGCGATTCCCAACTTAGGGAGTTTAGGCGTCTCTGTCGGCTAATTTCACGATTGTCCTATTGATGCTGTAATAAAAAACACATACTTATCATTTATTTATGATAACGGTAAAGTGTCAGACCATACCGATCATCTAGGTAGGTACGTGTTGAACATTTTGACCATCTTTCTCCAGATTTCCCTCGTCCATGTAACCTTAACTCCCTACTAAATAAAATAAAATAAAATATGTTTATTATGGAACATAAGATACATGTATCACTTATTCCACGTCATTAAATTTGAAGGCATCCCTACTCATCGGCAAAGAAGACAGAGGGTGTAGGCCGAGAGAAAAAGCCGGCGTAAAAAACTCTCGGTACTCTTTTAAAACAGCAAATCATCAAACAACACTTATTTAAAACAAATATCGCAAATTGATTAGAAGTAGCCTGTCTAGCACTAGTCCCAGGCCCTTTTATCAACTAGATAATCGTTGACTTTATAGTAAGCCTTTTTACACAGCTTAAACAGCCTTTTTACTTTCCCTCCCATCCAGCTCGATCGTCATAATATTAGGGAAATTTATTTCTGTTAATAAATTAAAGTTATAAATAAGATTCTCCCCTTCATACCTTGTAGTAAAATGTTAACCTCTTGTATATATTATTAGATTTCTGTGTGTGTTGTATTTATTGTGATGTCATTTTTGTTTTGGGTAACTCTGCTTAGATTAAATTCAATCTATCAAAATTATCAAATCTATCCTCACTGTGTGAAGACTTAGAACGTGACATTGGCGGAATTGTGATTTACACAGATGTCACCATTATAAATAAAGTGAAGTGAAGTACGTGTTGAAAAATATTTTCATTTGATATACATTAAAACGGAGACAACCACACAATTATGAAATGAAAAGACATCAGAGGCGACACGTCAGTCCAATCGATCGATCACGGAGGGAGGTTTTTTCTCAAATCAGTGTTAAGCTGCTGGAATAGTAGAAAATAAGGTTAAATATATACAGCCTTCGGGCGATTGCGCTTAGATAAGGGCTAAATAGAGCACTCGCCGCTAAAGTTAATTTTGTTCTCAATCTTAAAATTATATGAGCAAAATCTCGTTTCGTGTACGCTGTAAAATCGTTTTTACAGTTTATTTCGTATTAAATTTTGTAACGTAGAGATGACGGATACTAGATTACTTTATGCAAGATTATTTTATGTAAACTAGCGGATCAGACGTCCTGTACACACGTCTTACACACAAAAAAATGATCTAATAATGTAAATCATTCTCTACTCCACTGGAACACACAAATATGTCACCAAAATCTGTCCAACCGTTTAGGAGTTTAATTACGAACACATGCACAGAAGATTTATATATATACCAGCTGTTAATTTGCTGTATGGATAAATAACCTATACCGACTGCAGCGCCATCTTCCGGGCTGATTTGTGAATCTTAACCATCCAGGGCGCAAGTTAAAAGCATACAAAAAAAATACATTAACGCATTCAAAAAAAAAACATTCAATTCATCAATATGAATCACACACGTACAGTAGAATTACATATATAAAGATATTGGACATATTAAAACGTCAAAATAATTTAATGGCGTTGTTTATGTTATATTGAAACATACTTTAGAGTAATTGTAATACAAATGTTGGTACAAACATCAAACCTGGTGCTCCGCAGTATTATGGGTACTGGCTTGAGTTTACATCCGAGCAACTCTTGGAGTGCTGCCGAAGAACCCCGATTAGCCAGAGGTTATGTCACGCAAGTGGATAGGCCATGCACTCCGAAGAGATTTCTATCACATCCCAAGCAGGCGCTTGATTAGATCCTACAGAGAAAGTGGAAGCGCGGCCAAACAAACCTGGTGACGTACAGTTGCAGATAACGCAAAGAGAGCCGGAAATACTTGGAGCGAGGTAAAAGAGTGGGCTCGCGAGTGCGTTGCCGGCCTTTTAAAAATTGGTACGCTCTCGTGGTCTACGAATTGGTTCGAAAATATCTGCATCTTGTTATAATTATTTGAGTGTGATGAGCCAACAGAACACTCCCTAAGTTTTGTATCTTTGTAAGTTTGTATGGTTTGGAAACAGTAAGACATATAAAGATGTTACTTAGGTTCAAGTTTCATAAAAATCTGTTTAGTAGATTTATGGTTTCATTTTAATTTTTAATTTTTTCTTATTTATAAGGTGGTTGACCTGGTCGAAGATTTAACAGATGGGACAGTCCTCTGCGCCTTGGTGGAGGCACTCCAAGGTCGTAGACTTAAGGGTTGGAGTAAAAACCCAACCAACCAGCACCATCGATTGGAAAATTGTACAACCGCTTTACAAGCTATTGAAGATGACGGGGTCAAATTGGTTAACATAGGTAATTTTTATTTATATTATCATGCCTTTTTCCCGCAGGCAGGCAGTGACCTGGGATCAAGAATATTCAAAGAGTAATCTACTTGGTTGTAGATGAGCTCATTAAATATGATAAACACTTAGCTGTGGTTGCTCCTTGCGCGTGCAACGTGCGCGTGCGTTTAGAGAAAGCATTGTGCGGTGCCTTTCTGCCTTCTTTTTTTTTCTGCTTTAAGTGCCAACAAATTTCTATAATTTTATTTTATTTTATTATGTGCTTGTATTATTTTGTATATGTTTTAATTATATTTTTTAATTTTTAATTATAATTTTTAATTTCTATTTCTTTTTTGTGAAACTTATGTTTACTTTAATTGTCACACATTTCAGATGTAAGATTTTGTAAAATAATTAGTAGATTTAGTACTATGTGTGATGTCGTAAGCTTAATAACTAAATAAAAAATAAATAAATAAGTTATTATTATAACCTAACATTAGTAAAGTAACATATCGTCACTGTAGAAAGATAACCTGGTATGTCAAAAAAACATTTATTTTTATTCTTAGACACTTATGTCATTTAACTGGTATAATCATGAAGTAAGCTCTTATTTATGTTATTAATTAATAAGTCCCTTTTACCATCTAAACCTATGGACAAACACTTAATAATATTTTAACGAACATTGACGAAATGAAACATTTTTTTCGTTTCCTGTAATGTTTGGGTCTCTGGACACACGAGGTTATCATTCTACAGCGACGATATATATATTTTAGTTAATAATTAGAAGCGCAAACAAAATGTAAGCAATCATCGCACACTTGAAGCCAAAATGAGTACTTTAGTTTATTCCACACTCATAAATTGTAATATAACATTCTCGTTTCCGATAATGTCCAATAACAATTTGTCTCTTATGAACCCTTAAATAAGCCAAGTTAGTTTTTGTTAGCGTCGCAACCCCTCTACCCCTAATTTTATATTAGTTTTAAGCTCATATTTTAAAAGATTTAAGTCAGTTGTTATCTTCAAACAATGTGTTTCATTTATATTAGCATATATCTGAACATATAAATACGACAACCGCCACCGAAGTTAATTCGTGTTTGGCGCCACTTTATTTTGACATTACACATTTTAACAGAAAGAAGAAATACCTTAGTTTAAATGGTGTAATTATCTAGATTTTTTATAATATGTTATTCTTTAATTGTCTTTATCGTAAGAAACTTGTTAACTTTGATATATATAATATAACTTAAAAATGTTTAATTATTAATTCTTTACTTTACAGGAAATGTGGATATTGTGAATGGAAATCTAAAACTAATCTTAGGATTAATTTGGTCCCTCATCGTCCGATACCAGATTGGAAGAAGCAAATTCCCGCCAAGGTATTTTCGGCTTTATTTTAATTTTATGAAAACAATAATAGAGTGATGTTACAGCCTTATAGATAACAATTACTTTTCCATATAATCAGTGGCGGATTTACAAATTCTCAAGGTATAGGCTGAGAGCGGCAAAAACTTATGTTTTTCTGTCTCTACTTTCCTTCTGTCTTTCCTCTACAATAGTCATGTCCTAGATTATTTTTAGAATTCAACAATTTCGTTGAAATTGCGCGTAAAATAATTTTTGGGTTTAATTTGTGGGCACAAAATTATAGGTACTCAAACCATCCAGTTCGCAGCCTCCCACCAGTAGTAGGACTGACATGTATAGGGTAATATAGGGGGAAGCGGAAAATACACTTTTGCTATTTTCAATAATACAAAGTGTAAGATGACTATTACAGACTTCTATAGTAGTTTGAACGCGTGATCTGAGAGGAGAATTGCCAAAATATATTCTTTATAATTCTTCTTACTTCCATGCAAAATTCTCTTTATTTGAATGTTTGTCAAATTTTCTCTGACATTTTAACAATGATATATTTAGTATTGTATAAAATAATCATTGTACCAAGATGTATATATTAAAAATTGTATATTATTTATAAACATAATTATTAAAAAAAATATCTAGACATTACACACACGGCAGCAACAGTGTTGGCTGTAGGCTTTAGCGTGCGACTCTCATACCTGAGTTCGTAGGTTCGATCCCCGGCTTTGCACCAATGCAGTTACATGTGTGCGCATTTAACATTCGTTCGAACGGTGAAGGAAACATCGTGAGGAAACTGGCTTACTTTAGACCCAAAAAATCGACGGCGTGTATCTGTGGCTGATCACCGACTAATTAAGAAATTTTAAGTTCTTACACCTTTTTTTACAAATTAATTATTATTTCAAATTAAAATTGATAGCAAAACTTTCCCCCGGGCGACAACAAGTTTGCAGAAACACTCCGATTCAATTACCGAACGGTTGAATTATTTGTTACCCCAGAGTTGTATCTAATATAAATCTAACTATTGTTTGAACAGATATAATTTAAATTATTACGTTAAATAGAATTGTAACGTCCTTTGGGAGCGTTCAAGTATTACGTCACGTATTAAGTATTACGTAATTATTGGAGATTATTGTCCCCCCCGTGTAACGCGCCGTAACGTTTTTCTGTAACCAAGTTGACCACCTATACACTCTTTATACCTAAAACATACCATTATGTGGTATAAGTACTGGAAAGTCGAAAATAATATTAACAATAACTCGTAATTCAATCCCCGCCCCGCATCGTAACGTTTTACAAAAGGACATATTTTCAGTGTAACTGTTTGTTATTATATATAATTTATATTAGCTGTAGGATTACGAAATAATAAAACGAAAATAAAAGCTTTAAGGCGGCATTTTCATAGATTATCTTATTTTCCAGGAAGCTGATGTTATCTTGGCTCCAGTCAAGCCTCCCGGAATGCCGTGTCAGCAATCTTACGACTGATTGGAATAGTGGAGTTCTACTTTCCGCCTTGCTTGACCATTGTAAGCCGGGAATCTTCCCACATTGGAAGGAATTGAGTGAGTAATAATATTATTATTTTGTTTTTTGTAACACTATGTTTATTTCAATTGTCATACATTTTAAATGGAAGATTTTGTAAAATATGCCGTAGATTTAGTACTATGTATGATGTGGTAAACATTAATAAAAAATAAATAAATAAATATTATTGCAAAGTACTTTTTAGAATTATTGAATAAATAAATAGAGAAAAACACGTAAAAAGCCAGGTGCCCTCCGTTTCATTTAATCATGTCATAGACATAACATTTATTACTAACAAATACAACACACATAAGCACACATAATAATAATAATAATAATAATAATAATATGTAATAATAATAATAATAATAATAAAGCCCGTTTTATTTCCAATCATGACAAAAAAAAAACAAAATATGTGCTTATGTGTGCTTATGTCTTATGCTTATATTAAAACGCACATAAAACTAATCAAAGAAAAAAATATAATGAGAGATATAAATATAAACCCTTTATCCATGCGAAACGAAATGTGTAATGCGTGTGTGCTGTGATTGTTATTGGCCCTGGTTCAGCATTATGCTGAGGAGCAGAATGTTCCACAGGTCATCCTGCCAGAGACCACAGCAGCTAGTATGTTTCGGCAACGAAGTGTTAATAAATATAAAGCCGCTTAGCTGTTATTTTCGTTTAATTTTGCGATTAAATTTTAATTATTAATATAATGCAAGATACCTATTTATATTTCCACGTTATACGAAATGAAAATGCTCATTTTAAATTTGGAGCAGTCCACTTCGACACACTCCGACAATTTTAACTTCGCGAAATTAATACATAATTAAAATGACGTTGTGTAATATTCGGGACTTGAAATAATAACACATCCGAATTGAATTGACAGCGAATAGGCTATCTCGCTCTTAAAACTTGATTACTAACATTGATGAAAATATTGATATACTTTACTTTCTTCCAACTTACCGTAACTTTGTTTATCGTGGTCTTAATGAGGTTTAGTTTCCATTTAGTTTTTGTTATTATTGTTTTTATTGAAGTTATACTTCTTTAGGCGCGTTATGAAAAATTTATGAGAGTGAAATTTTACAATGCGCGCGCACCCGTGACACAAAATTAGGAGTGTGATTATAGCGTGCGCGAGCGAGATAGGAATAAGACAATCTACAAGTAAAAAGAAATAGAATATGCGTGAAGTTCGTATGCCAACAATTTTGAATGACCATAATGACATTTGTCATTTACCTTTTAAACAAATAAAGGAGTTTTAATTATTTTTTCAAAGAAATTTAGCGATGCTTTTTGAATTATAATCAGAAGTGATTTAAATTGAATATTTAAACCAATACTAATTAATATTTGTGAAAAAACTGTGCTCATCAACCTTCCTAAGTGCTTCAATACAATTGAGGTTAACTATCCGTATGTATTATTATTATTATCGAGTAATGTTTTGATTAAAAAATTAACCACATTGTTTAATCAAAACATGTAATTTTTCTGATTTTATCTAGCAAATATAAGGAAAAGAGACAAAAAACAATTGATGAATCAGCGTAACTGCACTAAATTGAATACAAAAAAAGAGTTTTCATCTTATCGCTGTGAAACATCAAAAACTGGAGGTGGAACAAAGCCAAACTATTTTAAATATTGCCAAAGAAGTATAACTTCTTACGCGCGTACATAAGTACACGGACCCTTTTTTTTTGTGGTTGCTTGTTTTTTCCCCTTTCAAATTTGCTTATGTTCTAATGTGTGTGTAAAATTTGTGAGGTCATATTTTCCAGTATAATTTTAGAACGCTGTTTTAGAACTTGTAAATAAATTACGGAACACTGTATTTAGTCGGAGTTCGGACATTCTAATACTTGTGGAATACTGCAAAACAATAAACAAACAAAAACAATTATCATTTCGATATTCAACTCAAACAAAAACAACAACATGTAGAATTCCTAAATGTCCTTACTTTAATTATAATTAAGAGTATAATAATATTTCAATTCTACAATTATAAATTGTGTCCCCACTCCCCACCAAGCGCGAAGCTCATTGGGCATCCTTCCTTTCTTCGAGAGCCTCGCCGTTTTTTCAACGAAAAGTGTGTAGCAAATGGTATAATAAATTTATGAAAACAGCATTTTTAATGCCATAAAATTAATTACAACTTTTGTAACAGATTCACAATTACATGGAGATAGCTGATACGACATTGCCGCTTTGCAGTTTTGTGAATAAATTTGCTTGGATTTTTTTTAATTTACACGCACTACTATACAACACTCCTTATATGGAGATTGTATTCGTTTTTTTAAACGGTTTTATTTAGTTTACAAGCAAAATTAGAGAATTATAATTTTCAAAGCCCTTTATAAATTTGACGATTATTTAAATGATACTAATCCTTGGGATTGATTTGCTCCAGTTCAAACAATTTGTATGACTCATAACTTGGCGATTAAAAAGAGTGGCGGAGAGTTTCTTGCCAGTTCGCTATACGCCCTTGACTTGCGAACTGGTAGTAAATGTAAATTAAGAATCAATTTAACATCTTTTCTGTGGACGTTCATAAGTGTACGTTGAGTTTGAGTTTGAATATTATGTATTAAATATAGCCTATATAACTCAGGTATAATGTAGCTTTCTTATAGTGAAAGAATAGCGCTCCATTAGATTTTAATTTTGATACAATCATACTATATTTTTTTGGTATTTGCAGCATATCTCGTTAAATCATTTAGGGTCACATTGTTAATACATAGTTTATCAAAAGCCTCCTTTACATCTAAACATTCTTTACGAACAGCTTTCCAATCCCAAATCCGGATTACGCGATATTTTTGTTTCCTATTTGCAAACTATTACAGATAAAGACGGTTATTTTTCCGATAAATAGGGAAAATAATATTTTCTTTTAGCCGTTTCGTATGTTACGTGTACTTGCTAGGTTTGAACCAAAGTACTTATTGTCTCTCTCTTCTTACTCTCCTCATCTAGCCTAAATAAAATTCGCAGAAAGAGATGAAAAGTACTTTAAGGGGGTAACTTTTGTTATAAAGCGGAAGCGTTTGTTTATTCACGTTAATATCGAAAAGTACAGATTCAAATTGAACATTTCTGGTGTTGGATTGAGAAATTTCAAATTTACGCGGTTCAAACCGCTGCCGCGCTGGGTACAGTCAGAAGTGATAATAATGATAGTTAATTTTTTAAATTTTTAAGGACGCGTGTCGGCGTCAAAATTTTTCCTTCTTCAGAACGTGAACATAGTTAAATTTTAACTGAAAGTTAGATAACTGAATTACTTCAAATTTGTTTTTATATCCAAATTAATAAATGACTAATCAGAAATAATCGATGACACACTCGTAAAAATGTATTTTTCAGATCGCCACGAAGCTGTCGAAAACTGTCGGAGAGCCATGAAACTTGCCCACCGTGAGTTGCAAGTACCAATGGTGCTGGAACCGGAGTACTTGGCTTCACCCTGGCTGGATGAACTGTCTGGTATGACATATCTGTCATATTTCATGAAACCAGATTCGTCAGGAATGAAATCCACCTTGGACTGGGTTAATTCAAGATTGGAGAGACCCATTTCTAACTTTACGGTAAGTTAATTTATTGTCAACTGTCATTTGTCAACTGTCAAATATACAGCGCAAAAGACCTAAAAACGTCAATTTTTTGTGTTTAATTCCCATAACCATAATTTTCTGGATATGAATTATTATCTGAATATAATGGAGGTACCCGTAGACCCACTACGGGTACCAATCAAAAAGCTATTAATACATGCAGCTGAGTTTCATCATCAGATGTCGAGACAGAATACGAAATTCCACCCGTATCACCTCGACGTCCGCCTTTCCACGACTGAGCGTTTTTCAAGGCAGTTTTTGCCGCGCACCACCGCTGTGTGGAACCAGCTGCCCACTGAAATATTTCCGAACCATTGCAACTTAGGGTCCTAAAGGTGCGCTTACACGGGCAACTAAAATTGCTCAATTCCAGTCAATACTCGTCAACTATGACGTCACGACTACATCAAGCAATTTACGGCAACGGCAACAAGCATCAATACTGCGCAATACAATATTGAGCGATATGGCGCAACTTCATCAACTAGTCCTACACGAGGAATTCAGTATTCGCTCGCTATAGACGACATTGTTCTTGCTGCGGCGGCTTGTTGCGCTTTTTTTATTATTAATCAAAAACAAAAAAGAAAGAAAAGGAATAGGCGTATCTGGGTGCGATCTTTTTGGCCGCAATTTCCGTTGTGTAAAAAATTAGATGATATATTATTCAAAAACTTTACTAGAATGTCACGAACAGACTTTGAATTACTTTTGAATAACGTAATTAGAAATTTTTATTATTTAGGCCTCTCGCTCTCCCCGCGGAAGCAAGACGGCAAGCAAAACCAACAAGTGCGAATGAGATATATACAAAAATTGCTAGGAATTTCCAAGTCCATTGGATATTCGTCAATTCATATCTGCGACATTGAGCGATATGAAATATCTGGAGCAATAAGAAGCAATATCGCCGAAATAATTTATTGAAATTTATTAAATTTATTGAAATTGCTCCATTAATTGCTCCAGATCGGTCCATTCGTGTCGCCGAGCAATTATTGCCCTCGTGTTAGCGCACCTTAAGAGCGTACCAATTCTTAAAAGGCCGGCAACGCACTCGCGAGCCCTCTATCGTTGAGAATGTCCTTGGTTATCACTTAACATCAGGTGAGCCTCCTGCCCGTTTGCCCCCTGTTCTATTAAAAAAAACCTGAGGCGGAAATCTCAACTTTTGCATGCACACGCCAACAAAATTTGTGTTTTGTTGGAAATCAATATCTGAAGGTTCGCTATATAATCTTGGCTAGAAGTGACCTTTGGAAAAGGTCACGTATACAAAGCACTCTGTGAACTGACAAAAAAGCTTTGTGCCGAGGAAGGTTCGGTGGCGGTTGTTGGATATGTTCAAAGACATGTTAAATGAAACACTTTGTTTGAAGCTGGGTGTTAACTGGTTTTAATTGTTCAAAACATAAGCCAACATTAGGGGTAGTAGGTTTGCGACTCTGTATTAACAAAAAACTAACTTGACTTATTGAAGAGTTCGTATATCTAAGTGACATTATCGGAAACGAAAATGTTATATTACAATTTATGAGTGATAAAAACTAAAGCTGATTACCTACATTTTGTTTACTCTTCTAATAATTAATGCTTAAAACTTAACTAAAGCTAAGTTACATAACTGCCGTAAGAATTTATTATTATGATTATATAGTCTGTAAAAAAATATCTATTTAATTTTCTTTGTTCGTTTCCTCGTATACGTGTAAGATTTAAACACGCCGTATGAAATTACTACAGACTATCAAATCGTTAGTTTGTAGATATATTAATATTGGCAAATCAAATAAACCATTTAACGGTTTTGAACTAATTTGACTTTGATATTGTTAAATTATAATGACAATGATACCAGCGCCATTGCTCCGACGATTGTCGGAGAAATATCGTAAGGCCGTTTCTCCACTGCTCCGGTCCGGCAAACGTTAAATACCGATCCGATTTAGAAACTCACAACAGTACTTACGTACTTCTCCACTACTCCGGCATCCGGTTTTTAACGATCCGATAACTTGCTAGATCGGAACGCGGTGTTTTATCGGTCCAAGTATATCCAAGAGGTTATAAATTATTATTCATAGGTTTATTTATAGTTTCTTTAATTTGAAAGAATCTGGATAACCTGGACCAAACCAAATTATGTTGCTATTTATTTCTATTTTTATACCATAGTATTAGTGAACTATTTATTAAGTAGATTATAATATTTTAAGATAGACAATATAAAAAAGTAATAAACTTGCCAAGGCAATAAAATATTGAGAATTTAGAACGTTTTATTAAAAAAGTAAAGTAGGTATATGTATGGGTTTTAGTTAATATAAGTGTTGCATGATAAATATACAAGTATCGATTATTATCGGATCGGATATAGTGGAGAAGCGCAGTCCGGCCTTCCGATATTTTTCTCATGACTCATTCCGGTATCCGACGCCGGACCGGAGCAGTGGAGAAAGGGCCTAACTCGATATTGACATCGTCATTAGAGGGCTTAGTGAGCGTTATGTGGGTACACAAATCGTACAATATTTCATTTAAATTGACTCCTTTGACAAAGTGTTACTTCAAGTAATATGTTAGCTTAAATTATAACGAGCAGCAGGTTCAAGGTACCGATCTCACTTTTAATCACAATCTACCCGACCACAAATTCTATAACACAACTCGGTCGAACGTCTCATCACCACTATGCTCCACTTAATACTCAATCACTAGTGGCCTGCATTCCCTGAACGCACTGTCCAAAGTCCAGATGGCGACTCGAGACATTTGCTCTGCTGTGAACAATATTCCTAGTGTTAGTTGTTAGTAATGATTCCAAAGTATGAAACAATTAAATAATAACAAAACTAATCAAATTAAAATAATTTATAAGAGCGCGGCCACACGATGCGTTAACGGTGCGGTGCGGCGCCGAAGCGGTGCCGAAACGTCATCCTACATACAAATTACTATACCATGTCACATGCGTTGCGCCGGACTTGTGACGCCCGGACGAGGCGGGGAGGTGTAAAATATATTGCCACACCGCAACGCCCGTGGCAGCCTATAGCTCGAAGTAATTCGGCGCCGCACCGCACCGTTACCGCATCGTGTGGCTGCGCTCTTAGTCTTCAAATAGAAGTAATCTCAATGATTAACGAAAGAAACAATAAAAATCAACTGTCAACATCAATCATAACATTTCCTGATAATCCAAGCATTCCCTGAAATATCTACGTATGATAATAGTATAGTTTTCAACCACAATTTGAAGCATCTCACCAAAGCAATAATTTCCGTAAAAGATTTACCATTCCTCATCTAAGTAGATAAAATTTACACCATAAATACCAAACCTCTTAGTAAGTTCGAGAGATTAATTGTTTTGTTTGTATCAAACTTAATAGATGTAGTAGTATTTAATGAGATTATTTTTCCGACCCAAATATCGACCAATAGAATTGCACCATTCGACGTCACGTGGTACAACCTACATGGTATTATACTGATAATTTTTTGAAAATTTTCTCTGGTAGTTGCTTCAAGATAAATATTAAGTAGTTGTTTTATTCATTATGAAATTCTTATTTGTTAACTGTACATTTCGTCTCATGGTGCAATTCTATTGGCCGACATTTGGGTCGGAAAAATAATCCCCCGAATACCACACGAGCTTCAAAATTATCTGGCATTTCCCTCAAGGTTCCCTGCAAACAAATAAAGTCGTCAAGTTTTTCAACTTCAAAAACTTGACTCCTTCATTTGTTTGCAACGAACCTATCGGGAAATACCCGATAATTTTGAAGCTCTTGTGGTATTATAAGTGATTGTATCCATAAGATTATTAATATCTTTCGAATTGTTTGTTCTTAGTATTAATTCACACACATATTTTTCAATGTTGCTGTTTGAAAGACTTATGCTTAGACTGAATGCCTTCGTATTTGAAAATCCTGTTTTATTTGACATATTAATAATTCAGTCCGTTTATTTCCAATATTTAACAATATACAACACAATAACTAAAATATATTATTAATGGGAGTCCCTTTAGGCAAGGTTCAGATGATACTGGCAGCGTTCCCCCTTTGAATAGCTAGACTAAATCTTTGTCCGAGGTAGCTGCCAGTTCTTCGGAACCTTGTATATATTAATTATATCTTGCTACTTACTATCCTAATTTCCTTTAGTACCATTCAGGAGTCCTCACAGGTAAATTCTTCCAGATTTTTACAAATTTCTCGGCTTTCTGTGTCCATTCGCTTCATGCTAACGTTTATATATCTCCTATCCACCTCTAGGGTGCCCTCCTCTCCTTCTTCTTCTTATGGTTATCTTTAAAGTCCATCTTTTATCTGTGCATCTTGCTATATGGACCGCCCATAGCCAATTGTATGTGACATACGGGAATCATATTACCGCAAAGTCTCGATTCTGAATCTTAGGATGATATCCTAACTTTTTTTAATTTGATACGAGTGTAAAAAGTGCTTGCGTTCATAATTTATTGAATTAGCATGAATAGGACACAAAATGATTAATTTTTATCTAATCTTTATTTCAAAAACTGTGCGTATTTATAACAACCGTAGTACCAAAATACGTCGTTCGAATAGTATTCGTGTAGTAATACACAATCATACCTAAAATCACCATATTCGTGCGAATAAATTATTATTACTAGAATTGTTTAAAATCGGAAACGTATAGATATGTTTACGACGACGAATAATGTAGAAGTATAGGTATGTAATACTTGTTAAAGGTACACTGCCACAGGGACCAAACTTTTTAAATTTGTTTTGATTTTGTTTTTATAATTTTTAATTATTATTTTGTATGCTTGATTGTAATGCCTCCTGCTGATAGGGGACAAGTCTTTGTTTTTATTTATGTTATTATTATTAATTACTTAAAATGTCATGTGGAACATGGTGTAATGGTTGCAGCTCCTTACAAACGTTGTGTAAAAAAAAAGAAAAAACATGGCGATTAAAAAGAGTGGCGGAGAGTTTATTGCCAGTTCTTCTCTTCCGTTCTACGCCCTTGATTTGAGAACTGGCAGTAAATGTAAAATTAGAAGCATTAATATTTATTTCTTTAATGACGAATCACAAGTGTACATTGTGTTACCTACGTGAATAAATGATTTTTGAATTTGAATTTGAATTAGAAATACTTAACAAAATCGTAGCAAAGTTCGTGGTACAACACCATAATAAATAATAATCCTGTGACCTTAAATTACAAGATTAGAGTTTTGGATTTGCCGGTTTCTTCGCGATTTCCTTCACCGTACGAGCGAGTAAAAATGTACACATGGCAAGTCCATTGGTACACTTCCGGGGCTCGAACCTACGACCTCAGGGATACTCTGTGCCAACACTGCTTTGCTTTTGCTTGCTTTGCAAAACCATAACCATTCTTAAAATACCCTAAATTCGTATATGTCACTAACATAAATAAAACGAGTGGTAACGCGGGGAGCGCCGGGCAGCCCCGACTAGCCAATAAATATTATGAGGATATTTCCGGAGTAGTTGTCACCTGGTCCTGACAGGAGATGCCAACCCTTTAAGTTAACAAAGTCCCTTTTTAGGGGAGATTTCGACACTCTCCTGCTGCTTAGTTTCTCGGTCACATATCTGCATGATTGTCATGCCTGATGCAGGGGTCCCTGTTTATAATTTTAAAAAAATACCCCAAAATAGTACTGGCACTTACCAAGTTTTTGTTATTTTATTAAATTATCAATTAATACACTTGAGAGATGTAATTAATTTGGAACTCTTATAGACGGACTGGAACGACGGACGTGTGGCGAACGAGCTGGTGAGGTCCATGGGAGGTCCTGCTCCTCCGGCAAGTAAGCTCCGCAGAGACCCAGCCCGTTGGGAGGAGAACAACCAAATGGCTATAGATGCTGCTAAAAAGCTTGGTATGTATTATTTCGAGCAAACAGATCGAATCGAGAATAGAGCGTGGAAATGAATTAATTCAAGAACGTAACACTTAAATAAAAATAAATAAATCAGTGGCGCTACAACCTTTTTAGATCTGGGCCTCAGATTGTACCTGTTGCATGATTAATTTCTCAATCTAATAAGCAAGTAGGTGATTAGCCTCCTGTGCCTGACACACGTCATCGACTTTTTAATAAATTAACCGGCTTGGTATTACAAAGATCTCACAACTTTTTTCGGTAAGTTTTTGATGGCATAAAATTTAAACACCACACACACGTACGCTGGGAAGAAAATTCGCAGGACCTGCGATTAATATATATATATATATATATATGTGTGTAATTACTTGTGACATATATAGTGTTATCATGCTAATGTCAAGTCAATCTTGCATTCCGTCTCCCTAGAAAAAAGCAAAAAACGCGAATCTTTTACAAGAAGGATTGATAATCTTGCATTTATAAATAACAGTGTAAACCCTTTATAACCTCATTAGTTATAACGAAAAATTCTTTATAACGTAAAATGCGTTAAATTTGTTTAGTTTAACACAAAACCCATACATTAATTCATTCTTTATAACGCAACAGCCATTCTCTATTACGAAGATATATTTTCATATTTAGACATCAACACCATACTTAAGTGTAATCGTTTTTATAATCAGCTTACAAAACTAACCTATCGAGGTGCCGAAATTTCTAGAAACCTGTGGTCATAAACAGCCGTCTCGCCTTTGTTATTGTTAATTGTATTAACACGTGTGCCATTATTCTTAGATTACATTGCCTGTAGGAAATCAGTCTCAGTTACTAAACGCACCATTCTCACCTGTCTCTTATATATATATATATATATATATATATATATATATATATATACATTATTGTAATTGGTTAAGTTTTGTGTTTTTTCTATCTCGCCATATAACGAAATCTCTATATAACGTCTGTATTCGTTATTAAGAGTGTAGTACACTGTAATTTGAATATTGTCCAGCCACAATTAAGATTACCATGATAACATATCATTGCAGGTGTTCAGCCAGTATTATCAGCGAAGGATATGAGTCAAAGCGACGTGGAGCACTTAGGTGTAATGGCTTGGGCAACGCAATTCCGGAATATTCCGCCGAGGCCGCCAATCCACGACATGTTGCGGGTCGCACTCGATTCCACTTCGGGGAGAGTGGGAGAACCTGTGAGTAGATTTTTAAGAATTCCCTCGCATCTTGGAGATTAACTCATTTATTTCAGATGAGGCTAGCAGGATAAATTGCCTGTGTTATATTGTTAAGGTACTTCATATCAACTGGATTAGGCGAGTTAGATATACAACTCGTAAATCGTTTTTGGGAAGACATTTTGATTTTTATTGGCGCTGTTGCACTTCCTCACAATTCTATTATTTTTTAATGTTTTCTAATTGCCTGAAAGATATCGCTTTATTGTTATTATTATTTAATTGTGTGCAATAGAATGTGATAATGTGTACATATCTTGATAATTTATTTATTCACACTTCGTTAAATTTAGACAAAAAAAATAACATATTACATAAAAATTATAAGGGATGCCACGGGCGGCCTTATCGCTAACAAGCGATCCCTTCCAGGCAACCCTAGTAAGGGAAAAAGCTAAAAAAAAGTAATATGATGAGTAAAGTGCAAGAAGTGCCTAACAAAACTTAAAAAAAATATATAGAAGCGTAATCTAAAATAATACAAAATATAAAAAAAAACTAAAAAGCCTATTATAAGAATTTGCAATACAAAAGAATAAGAAATACAATAATTACAAAAGTCACGATTGAGCAGGATTTGATATGGTTCCGAAATGTTTATATTGTAGAAGAGTTTTAAAAAATTTTACACACTCAACTTAATGGCGGAGATCCTAAACGAATTGCCTAAGAAGGATGAGCGATGATGATTATTACGACGAAAGTTTCAAGTAGACTCACTCGCGTCCATTTCTCCTTTAAAGTCGCCTCTCATAGAATGCACCAGCTACTTCATTTTTATATGAATTTTTAAATATATACTCTCTTTCTTTCTTTCTCTCTTTCTTGTGCGCATTTAACATTTGCTCGAACGGTGAAGGAAAACATCGTGCGGAAGCCGACATGTCTTAGACCCAAAAAGTGTCGTGTGTCAGGCACTGGAGGCTGATCACCTACTTGCCTATTAGATTTAAAAATGATCATGAAACAGATTCAGAAATCTGAGGCCAAGACAAAGGGGTTGTAGCACCACTGATTTATTTATTTATTTATCAATCAAATAAAATGTTTATTAGTAATCATAACAATCAAATATACTGTATATTTGATTGTTATGATTACTAATTTAAAACGTAATAAAAATAATTAAAAATTAATAAAAAGAAAACTAAAACAAATTTAAAAAACTTGGCCCCTGTGGCAGTGTACCTTTAACGCTGGCAGCATTTCCTCGCTGTATTGCGATACTTATTCGTTGAGCAAGGAAAGCACCAGCTCTGGGGTTACCGGTATTAACTACCAGGCGCCAAATAAATATTTAATTAAGTAAAATTTAATTTCAGACTTATATTAAAGTTCAGAGCGTATCAAAAGACTTGTCAATGTCGGATGTAAATGTGTTTATTGTGAATCCACTTGAGCAAGAATCCAGGTTAAAGCTCGATTCGAGAGGCGCCGGGGAATTCGTACCGGAGCACGCTGGCATGCACGAGATAGTTCTCGTTGTTGATGATATACGGTTAGTATTTTTATTCTCTTCGAAAATGCAGTTTTAATAAAATTTGGAATTATATTTTTTTAGTTCTGAGCGTTTTTGATTACGTAGATTTTAACTTAATAAAAAGCTTTATTGATTAATTTACGTTTAACAAGAGGTTTGAATTAGTAGTCAGTAATAATTCTCTAATTTCACTTGGGAGTTTGTTGTAAAAACGAATACAATTTCCATATAAGTGGGCGTCAAAAATATATTAACCAGCGAGCATCATAACATTCAATTCCTTAAACTTAATTTTAAAACTAATTGCTTATTCTTAGTGTAACGATGATATGGAAAGGCCGTGACGCACTCGTGAGCCCATTGGCATTGAGTGTCCATGAGTGTGTGAGAGTGCCCGCTTGCCCTCGGTTCTATAAAAAAAATATATTGTTTATTTATATCGATTCAATTAATAATACAATTTTCACTTAACGACGAAAACTCAAGTCCCATACATTTAGTTCTCAAATCAAGGTCGTACGGGCGAGAAGAACTGGCTATACGCTCTCCTCTTTATATATTAAAATGTGTGTAAAAAAAAATGGCGACTAAAAAGACTGGCGGAGAGTTTATTGCCAGTTCTTCTCTCCCGTTCTACGCCCTTAATTTGAGAACTGGCAGTAAATGTAAAATTAGAAGCATTAATATGTATTTCTTTACTGACGAGTCATAAGTGTAAATTATGCTACCCATATGATTAAATGATTTTCTACTTTTACTTTTATTTTTATTGCAAATCTCATGATTGCTAAACTATTAAAACGCCAAAAATTAATTAATATAGATATAATATATTTTTACAGTGTGGATGGGAGATATTTCTTCAGAGTACTGCCACGATTGGTGTCGGTCCCGCCTCCTGGTATGGCTCCTTGCGCCGCTGGGAGCCTGGTAGAAGTGTTGGTTAGCGCGACAGGTAACTTTATTAAATTAAACTCTTAAGGTATATTATTAATATTGATTTTTGTACATAAACATTAATTTCTTTCAATTCCGCGAAACAATTATTTAAAATTTACTATACCTATATGTATATACATATATATAATAAATATATACCTATCGTTTGCACCTGGGAACAAAGTCGTAAAAGCAAAATCATTTTTTTTTTCAGGAAAAACAAAAGTAGGTAGGTAGTGCTATTATTACTAAGTACATATACATACCAAATTAATTGTTTCCTATTCAAAGATGTGTGTTATGTATTTAGTGTAAAAACAACTAATTGCACATTACAGTCATTCATCAAATTAGACTGAAGAGCAAAAGCATTTTACGAATGTTTCACTGTTTAAACATAATTACGGATGTTACAGTAACCACACATTACAACGGTAATTTTGACGAATGTCTAGAACGTAATAATGTATTACCACTCTTTACTCTCTAATGGTTGTTGCTATCTATATCAGAAAAGTAAAATTAGTTAAACGAGTATTACTAACATTCTGCACAAAATAATTTCCGTAGAATAAAGACATCCTTGTGTCTTTTGAAAATAGAATGTTTTGCAAAAACTCTGAAAAAAAATACAGTTATCACCCAAAGTCAAAAATGAGAAAACATTAAAACAGTCGTAAAAGTTCTTTACGGCTTTATTCCCATATATGTACATATATATGTATGTACATATAACTATGATATTAAAACACAATGACAATGATCTCTTGTAAACGACATATTAGGTCTATGATTAGTTTATGTTTCCACCACACTTTTTTTTATTAAAAAGACATCTTTCATATTTTTTTTTTATGGCTCTGGCACGATTTTTGCATAAGCCAGCGTCAAGTATAGGATTTTTTATAATTCGTGCTTGTCTTTAGACATTCGACCGTGTCCTCCATGTACGGTTTAGGCACTCGACCGGTACCGCACAACCCTCCCAAAGGCCGAGAACAAATTTAAATAAAATTAAAACTTGCCCTCGAACCGGGAATCGAACCCGGTACCCCTCACCTAGCTGCCACTTCATAACACCGATCTTTCATATTTAATATCTTGCGTTCGAAACCGATTTTTTCATTTTCCATTGAAAATAGTATTAAAGTTTCGATAGTACTTCCAAAGATTTCAAAGGAAAGTTTGGTTGAATTTCAATGCAAAGGATATATCGGTATTAAAACTTTGACCGTTATCTCTTATTTAATTCGTTCGTAAAGCATTCCTAGATTCTTTCACAATTAAAACTCTCAAGGAAAAAAAAATAAAGACAGCAACCGAACGTTATACACCACTGCCGTGTAATGCTTTCAGGAAGGTGTTTAGATTTTTAAAGGTGCCTTTATAACGTGGAGCAGTGTTGGCCTAGTGGCTTCAGCGTGCGACTCTCATCCCTGAGGTCGTAGGTTCAATACCCTGTGCTGGCTGTGCACCAATGGTATTTCTTTCTATGTGCGCATTTAACATTCGCTCGAACGGTGAAGGAAAACATCGTAAGGAAACCGGCTTGCCTTACAGCCTGGCCACGGGACATTCGCCGATGCAAATATTCGCGCGGTGCGAACGGCGAAGCGTCTAGCGACTGAAATAAACTCTTACGGCTTGGCCACGGGGATCGGCGGTGCGAACGGCGATGCGGGAGGCGAGACGACCATTCGCGCGGCGCCGTTTGCAGGCCACGCACCAGTCACGTTTGCCGCCGCGACCAGTAAGGAAGTTCGACAGCGAAATGTCTTTATCGAAATCATCTCGATATTGCTTGGAAAGTAATAGCTTTTGGTTCAAGACCTAATATTTGGAGAAATTGTGGAGTACATGATTTAAATAAGATTCGGAATCGAAGGTATAGATGGAGAATTCCACAAGAAGTATGAGATATACAGAATATATCCAGAATTATTTTTTTGAGTATACCAGAATGAGTATTGAAACCTTCGATTATATTCTTATGAATATTCAACCAGAATTGGAGAAAAAAGTTAATGCAAATAGAATTTTAAGTGCCGCTGAAAATTTTTTTTGACATTAAGGTATATTAAATTAATGATGTGGATGGCCAGACTTCCAAATAGCTGGTCTAGCCAGTATTTCAATAATAAAAAACTCTGTATTAATTTTTCGCCGCGACCACGACTAAACTTATTTATTCCCTTCTCTATTCGCCGCGACTGCCGCTCGACTCCGTGGCTTGCACCGTACTGATTCATGCATTTGTTTCGCTCGCCCGTCGCGACGTCAGTCGCCCGCGCGATTCGCTCGGTACATTTCGCCGGTCGCATCGCCGGTCGCCGTTGCGCGTGGCTTGATTAGTACATTGCTATGAGTTTATTTCAGTCGCTAGACGCATCGCCGTTCGCACCGCGCGAATATTCGCATCGGCGAATGTCCCGTGGCCAGGCTGATAGCAATGTACTAATCAAGCCACGCGCAACGGCGACCGGCGAAATGTACCGAGCGAATCGCGCGGGCGACTGGCGTCGCGGCGGGCGAGCTAAACAAAGGCAAGAATCAGTACAGCGCAAGCCACGGAGTCGAGCGGCAGTCGCGGCGAATAGAGCAGGGATTAAATAAGTTTAGTCGTTTTCGCGGCGAAAAATGAATACAGAGATTTTTATTACTGAAATACTGGCAAGACCAACTATTTGGAAGTCTGGCCATCCACAGCATAAATTTAATATACCTTAATGTCAAAAACAATTTTTCAGCGGCACTTAAAATTCTATTTGCATTAACTTTTTTCTCCAATTCTGGTTGAATATTCATAAGAATATAATCGAAGGTTTCAATACTCATTCTGGTATATACAAAAAAAATTCTGGATATATTCTGTATTTCTCGTACTTCTTGTGGAATTCTCCATCTATACCTCGATTCTTATTTAAATCATGTACTTCACAATATCTTCCAAATATTAGGTCTTGAACCAAAAAAGCGATATGTCTTTATCAAAATGATTTCGATAAAGACATATTGCTGTCGAACTTCCTTACTGGTCGCGGCGGCGAACGCGACTGGTGCGTGGCCTGCAAACGGCGCCACGTGAATGGTCGCCTCGCCTCCCGCTTCGCCGTTCTCACCGCCGATCCCCGTGGCCTAACTACTAAACCGTACTAAAAAAATTTTTCGGTATAAAATTTCATATATCTATAAAATATATTGTTTCTCTGTATATTTTCATACCTGTTTTGTTTATATTATCGCAGTGATAACTGCTAACTTTTCAAAAACAACTAAAACTCTCCATGTGACCGGTTATTGAATATGGTTTTCAGGTGCCCCACGTCGCCAAGATATTGACGTGACAGCTCATTCGCCAAGTGGCAGAGCTGTTCCATTAGAAGCCAGGCATCCTCCGCCTTCAGCAGCTGGCACCACAGCATCCAGCGCCACCTTCCAGCCCGATGAAGCCGGCACATGGACCATTGCCATTACGTACAAGGGCGAGCATATCCAGGTTAGTTAGGATTTAGTTAGATTATTGCATAAGGGAACGTTCAAGTATTACGTAACGAATTTTGGGAGGGGGGGTCCTTTTGTGAAACGTTACGATGCGGGGCGGGGATTGATTTACACTTTATTGTTAATATTATTTTCTACTTACACCACATAATAGTAACTAAAGAGTCACTAGGTGGTCACGAAACGTTTTACTGAACTTGGATACAGTACTGTACACAGTTGGGTACTGAAAAACGTTACGGCGAGTTCATGGGGGGAGGCAAAAATCTCCAAAAATTGCGTTACGTAATATTTGAACGCTCCCTAATATAGAAAAATTTACTTCAAATATCTGCCATCATTATTAGCCATGTCACTTAATATAACTATTAAAACAATTTTGATGGCCGCAGTAAGAAAAGAAAAATACTTTATTATTAATAATAAAAAACTATATTTCGTTAAAAAGAAAGTTCACCAGCCCCCACACTAGTTTCCCTGTGTCGTGGGCAGCTAGTCTATTCCATTTGACATGTTTTCGGGACTTGACAATAATTTCTACATAACACAAACTATTGTTGCACAATAAGAATATTTGTAATATAACTTCATTATTTTAATACACAGGGCGGTCCATTTACATGTGAAGTATTCGACCCAGCGGGCGTTCGTCTCAGCCCCGGTGCGTTAGAAGGCGCCGATGCCCTGAAACCACACTCCTTCGAATTGGACACAAGTGGGTGCGGTGTCAAAGGTGACCTACAACTCGACATAGTGCATGACAAGCGAAGTGTTATGTGTGCACTTGAGAAGTTATCGCCGACCAAATACAGGGCGACCTTCATGCCGAAAGCTACGGGAAAACATAGGGTAATGTATTCAAATAATACAGTCAAAACCGTTTACGACGACATCGGTTAGGACAACATACCGGTTATATTGACCAAAATCAAAGGTCCCGGCTGAATTCTATGCATTAGGTCCTTACGTCATCGGCTATTACGACTATCGGTTTTTACGTTTATGAGTAGTCCCTTCGTTATAACAGATTTTGACTGTACTAATACTTGAAATAATAATCAATACGACGTCACTATCTTAAGGCCTGTATTCACTTTGATAAGTGATTAGTGCAGGTGATTAGTAGAAAACAAGTGTGGACGGCGACTGATTAGTGCGGGTGCTGCGTAGTAAAGTGATTAGAAGTGTGTTCTATTTTTTTGCGAGTGAACTGCGAGTAGTGACGTCGCGTGCGCCCTCCCTTCCCCCTCACTCGCAGCGTGCCTGCCAAACTATATGACAACTGAATTTACTTAAAAGAACCACTAAACCATAATTCAAAGTCAAAGTCAAATCATTTATTTCAATTAAACCACCTAAATTGGCTCTTTTGAACGCCAAACAAAATGCAAAGAAGATTCTAGTTGCCCCTTCCAAAAGGTAGTTTCGTGTGGAGAAGAATGGGCAAGAAACTCCACACTTACTCTTTAAAAATAGGTTTACAATATTTGGTATACATAAGTTAAATAATTATTTGTGAAGACAATGTACTCTTAGAATAAAACTACTATACTAAAAAAAGTTAGTATACATGTTCCTCACATATTTACAAATATCGAAACCGTAGAATATTATACATTAAAGAGTAATAAAAATAATAAAAAAAACACAAAAAAACAGTGTGTGAGATAAAATAAAATAATAACATTTTGTAGTAATTAGACACCACTTGCACTACACACTTGCACAAATCAATGTCAATTACTAATCACTTGCACTCGCACTAATCAAAGTGAATACAGGCGTATACACAAAATACCACATACCTATTGAGAAAATAAATAACAAACCTATCTAATATATAGCAGTACCAACAGATTACATAAGAGCCAAAGATATAGAAAAAGCCAGGTGGCTGAAATCTTCCACGGTTTGCTTCACAAAACATTATCTTTTGCGAAGTAGCGAACTGAAGAATCGCCTCCCAGTGGGGTTTTTTCTGGGAGATACGACCGGATACGGATAAAAAAGGGTACTCCTACATCAAAGGCAGCGCACCTAATTAATTGGTTGGCACGTTTGCCTCCCAATCCTAAAAAAAAAATAGCAAATATTATCCACTTAAGCCAAATCTCACTTGTTTCTGGAATATCCAAACTAGTGTCTTACCAATATTATAGACACCACAGGAATTGTCGCTAAAAGTATTACTAAATACATTCAACAATGAAATGCCTGTAAAGACACCATTCTCCAAAAAATAGGTAGTGAAATTCAAAGTCATTTTTTTTTCATTTAGGTAACACAATGTACACTTATGAACGTCAATAAAGAAATATACATGAAATGTTTCTAATTTTAAATTTACCGCCAGTTCTCAAATCAAGGGCGTAGAACGGACGAGAAGAACTGGCAATAAACTCTCCACCACTTACATGTAAAACATACAACCCTTAATTTTCACCCCTCTACGATCAACCCCTATTTTTTATTATAGTAGATAGTTATTTTATTGAACTGAAAAAATCTTTACTAGAAATAAAATACATGGCAAAACAATTATTTATATTTTTAACAATTATAGTAATTTTATAATATTGTACAAATTATATTAAAATTCCCCAGCTATATATATATTTCAATGGTTACGATGTTCACGGATCACCGCATGTGTTCCGTGTGGGGTCGAAGTCTAAAAGGCTGAGAGATAGCGCCAGCCCCTCACCATATGCGGGAATGTCAAGTCCAGGTATTTATTCGATATCATCTTTTCACTCTAATATTTATTTAATCCACAGACAAGGCAATTAAAGTTTTAAAGACATTTTAAAAAGTTTCTATATTTGATACAAACCGTTATTTATACGATGGCTACTGTTGGTATACGAATTCAGCAACCTTTAATAAACAGATAAAAGCAATAATTCTTTTATATTTATTATTATTTTATTATATTTATTATATTCTTTAATATCTTTTATATTATGAATTCTGTTAATACAATGTACTCGTATTGAAGCTTCTTTTTTGTCTTTCTGTCTAAATCGTGTTGAAGTTATGATGAAAGGAGAGAGTTAAACACAGAACATAGATTTTGCTTATAGGTTCTATAGAATTTTCATTTAGCTAATGTAAAATTTCAGTAACACGCTTAAGATCAGAAAGTCCGCAGATATATGAATCGAATTCGAGTAAATACGGCCGACGCGATGACTACAAAGACACCAGAGAGAAATCATTTGACGTCACCGACACATATTCAAAGATTAATAAGGACAAAGCAGAAAGTCCTTTATATAGGACCACTAGTCCTTTACGCAGAACGCCCAATTACGAAGAACGTGACTATTACAACACAAAAGACGCCACCGATTCATATTCAAGAATTAATAAAGAATATAAAACAGATAGTAACAGGACAACTCCCATACGCAGAACGCCTAATTTTGAAGAACGTGACATTTACAATAGTAAAGACGCCACCGATTCATATTCAAGAGTTAATAAAGAATATAAAACAGATAGTAACAGGACAACTCCTATACGCAGAACGCCTAATTTTGAAGAACGTGACATTTACAATAGTAAAGACGCCACCGATTCATATTCGAGAATTAATAAAGAATATAAAACAGATCATAACAGAACAACTAGTCCTGTACAAAGAGCATCCAGTCCTATACGCAGAACGCCTAATTTTGAAGAACGCGATTTATATAATACAAAAGCCGCCACAGATACATATTCGAGAATTAATAAAGAATATAAAACAGATCATAACAGAACAACTAGTCCTGTACAAAGAACGCCGACTTTTGAAGAACGTGACTATTACAACACAAAAGACGCCACCGATACATATTCAAGGATCAATAAAGAATATAAAACAGATCATCACAGAACAACGAGTCCTGTACATAGGACATCCAGCCCTATTACGTCTAAATATTTGGGTTCTCGGCTCGATAGTGCGCATAGAGCGACCAGCCCGTTTGCAACTTCGCTAACCAGAGACAGCCCTTTGAAGCCTGCCAGTCCAATTAACCGGTACGTACTAATTGTTTGTCTAGTACAAAGCGAATTGTATATTAAATTGTTTTGACGTGTTTAATTGTCCTATATACATTGGGTAATTGAGAATCAATGTTGTTTTATGGGTATGAATAGCTAAAGAATTCTCGCGTCGCTTTTTGTTCAATGTTTCTTATGAGAACAAACTATGGGTGGGATTTTTGGAAATATAAAATTGTTGTATCTTTATTATTCATGTTTCATACTCAGTCTTTATGAACACGATTATCTGAAAATCCGCCAGATTCCTGAGAAAGTTATGTGTAATGATAGCTCATTATAAAATTTTTGAGGAGGGAAAAATCTTGAAAGTATAAAAACGAAAATACACGAATTCCACGCGGGTAAAGATGCGGGCGACCGAGTTTGAGTAATAAAAAGAACCGCACAGTAAATAATAAAACACCAAAAAAGAGGGTACCTCCCTAAAAGGTCTTTTATTGTATAAGACTCCTTTGCCCTTTATTAAAAAATACTGTTTTGTGGACTTTTTCTTTTTTTTTTTATAGAACGGGGGGCAAACGGGCAGGAGGCTCACCTGATGTTAAGTGATACCGCCGCCCATGGACACTAAATGCCAGAAGGCTTTTACTATCGTATATGTTTTAATTGTATTTTTTAAATTTTAATTTCTATTTAATTTTTTTGTGAAACTTATGCTTACATTAATTGGCACACATTTTAGATGTGTGATTTTGTAAAATAATTGGTAATTTTGGTACTGTGTGTGCTGTCGTGGGCTTAATAACTAAATAAAAAAAAAAAAAAGGCTCGCGAGTGCGTTGCTGGCCTTTTAAGAATTGGTACGCTCTTTTCTTGAAGGACCCTAAGTCAAATGGGTTCGGAAATAACGAACTTAATAACGATTGTATTGAAATAAATATTGATTTCAGTGTCAGCAGTCCCACTGAGCGATACAGCCCAGTGACGACAACAAAGAGGGTAGTTGAAAAACGTTCGAATTACAAAATGTACAGTTCGTACAGTGGATCGCAAGACAACATCGATCACAGCCCTTTGTCATCATTGGAAAATGAGCGATCGAGGCGATACGGCAGTCCAGGTACAATTCTTATTAAGACACCGATAAATATATTTGAGGGAATATTTTGCTCTTTTTAATAGGTAAGATCAGCTTTCTGTGCCTTTTTTGTTGACTTTTTTTTGTCTAAGGTTTCCTTACGATGTTTGCCTTAGGTTTGAATATAGAAAGACTTTGTCCTGTGACGTTGTCCTTAATACCTAAAACACAAAAAAGTAAATGCTAATCTTAAGAGCAGTGTTGGCCTAGTGGTTTGAGCGTGCGACTCTCATACCTGAGGTCGTAAGTTCGATCCCCGGCTGTGCACCAATGGACTTTCTTTCTATGTGCGCATTTAACATTTGCTCGAACGGTGAAGGAAAACATCGTGAGGAAACCGACATGTCCTAGACCCAAAAAGTCGACGGCGTGTGTCAGGCACTAATCACCTACTTGCCTATTAGATTTAAAAAATGATCATGAAACAGATTCAGAATTCTGAGGCCAAGACCTAAAGGAGGTTGTAGCGCAACTGATTTATTTTTTAAATCTTAAGAATCACAGTTCATGCTAGGTTTCAGAATACAATTAAAAAAGAATTAGAATACATAAATTACAAATGTTTATAAAGATGATATTAAATTTAATTATTATTTTGTAAATTTGGAATTGAAATACTCCTTACAGGTGGAGATGGCAATGAAGTGGATCCAGGTGGAAAGAACTACGGTCAAAAGAACTCGTGGGATTCCGTGGAAAGAACAAGACAGATGCTCACAAAAAATAGGTTTGTTTTGACGTGAAATTGTGTTGACACTGTCTTTTTTATTTTAAAGAATAGAGTTCAATCGGGTAGGAAGCTCACCTGATATTAAATGACATGCTAATGGACACTCTCAATCTTCAAGAGGGCTCGCGAGTGCGTTGCCGGCCTAATGCTCGCTGTAATTGTCATGTTTTTAGTATAGATAGATTGTAATGTGACCTGCAGAAATTGAAAAATAATACTGTGTGATATGTGTGTTTTACTTTAATTCAAAAATATCCATGGTCTGCGGATATATACTGCCCATTTGCCCCATGTTCTATAAAAAAAAGAACATAAGATTTACAAAAAATAATAATAAATATATTACACTAAAATATTAAGTAGTAGTACCTACGTATTTAAACATTCCTATTCGCTAAACAATTCTTTCGTTTAATTTATCAGCCCACTACTGAACATCAGGTCTGAATAAGTAATGTTCATTCGGCGTTGCGAAGAATTCAAATATTTAGGCGTCTTTTACGACTTTTTTGGTTTTTCACACTCCTAAATTATGCTGACATTTAATAAAGACCAGTGTTGGCCTAGTGGCTTCAGCGTGCCACTCTCATACCTGAGGTCGTAGGTTCGATCCCCGGCTGTGCACCAATGGACTTTCTTTCTATATGTGCATTTAACATTTGCTCGAACGGTGAAGGAAAACATAGTGAGGAAACCGACATGTCTTAGACCCAAAAAGTCGACGGCGTGTGTCAGGCACTGGAGGCTGATCACCTACTTGCCTATTAGATTTAAAAAATGATCATGAAATAGATTCAGAAATCTGAGGCCTACCTAAAGAGGTTGTAGCGCCACTATTTTTTTTTTAATAATAAATAATAAAATTTATTTCAGTTACTTTACCTTTAAATACTTCTATCATCTCATTAATTCCTAGGTATCTATGTGCCCATTTTTGGCAAAGGTCATCTGCAAATCACGCCATTTCTGTCTACACTGTGCCACATGTACCATCAACTGATGTTAATCTGGTCTATCCACGTTCTAAATTCTCTTCTGTTTTTGCGTTTCTGTACATTGGGCACCAGTTAAAATAAATTCGTATCGGTTATTGCATTTATGTGACGATTATCATATTTTAGTTTGCCATTATCTGTTACCTAGTTTGGACACAGACCGCCACGGACAGGGTACGTTAGAACGTGAGACACAACGAAACACCCAACTCAACAAGTTTAGCGATTTGTCGCACGACGCGTTCAACCAACAGTTGGATCGATTGGCCGATGAAAGGGAATCGGACACTTATACACATGTAAGTAATTGTGTAATGAAATTAAAGTGGACTGTCTATGATAAATAGCTAAAAAGTTTACTGAGCAAATACGTTGCTAAGACGAACTTTTTATGTAACTGCTGGTTACAATATTTATTTAATTCATTTGAATTAAATAAATAAAAATTTATTCATTCATTATTAGTACCAGCAGTGTTGACCTAGTGGCTTCACCGCGCTACTCTTATAGGGATAAGCGCAAGGTTCGATCCCCGGCTGTGCAACAATGGACTTTCTACCTATGTGCGCATTTAACATTAGCTCGAACGGTGAAGGGAAACATCGTGAGGAAACCGGCTTGCCTTAGACCCAAAGAGTCGACGGTGTGTCAGGCACAGGAGGCTGATCACCTACTTGCCTATTGCGAGAATGTTTCTTTCTTAGCCTAATGGTGCGTGCAAGCAATTTCAAGGTCATAAAAAATATTCTAATATTAATGCTGAAACATTAGTTAGAAAAAATAATAGAAAATGACTTTTCTATTTTCTATTATTTTTCTAAATGATGTAAAAGACTTTCTGTTACAGAAAGAGTTTAAACGCGAAGTTCGCGAGAGCTCCTACGTGGTTCGCGACTCTTCCTTCAGCAGTATGGAGGAGAAGCGTCAGGAACAGCAGTCTTTTTTATCCAATAGGCCCCCCCGCGACCCTACCGGGGGGGCCAATTCTGAGACGGACGCAGCCCATGTTCGTTTCAGGTGAAGATTTTTACTTCTTATCACACATTATTATTATTATAGCCTTTTATTTCCATAATGAATAATATATTAAACAAGTATATCATATGACTAGTTATTACATAATATGTGCATGCATTAAAAAAAAATATATATTACAATTTATAATCCTTAAATTTAAATTCCAATCATAATAAATAATTTCCATGTATATTGTATATACATTTTAAATGATAAATAAATAAAAAAGAATGTAAATCAAAATACATTTTCATAAATCATTTTGGACCCCTCTACTGGTAAAGGATTATCACACATCATACTTATTTATGTATGATATGAAAAATGTCAAAAGTTTAACAACGGTTCCTAATGACAGACAAGATGGCGGATGTTTATGACCAGCTGTTTAGTCCTTGTTAACATTACTTTATAGACGTTACTAAAAGTGTAATGTATTTTTAAGACTATTATATTTATTTATGTTCGAAGAGATGTTTTTTTTAATTTTTTAGTCCGAATTAAGTTCGGTGGCGGCTGGGTAACAACTGACTTTAATGGTTTAATATGAGCTTATAACTAAGACAACCCTAGGGGATGCGACGCTAAAAAAACAAACTTGGCTTATCTAAGGGTTTCTTAAATCTGAATGACACTTATGTTATTGGACAGTATCGAAAACGAGAAAGTTAGAATACAATTTATGAGTGTGGTAAAAACTAAAGAGAATATTGGCGTCGTGTGCGCTGATTTTTTACACTTCTTTTTATTAACAAATAAATATATGTAACTTAACTAATCTTACATAACATACATAACCACTCCTTATATGGAAATTGTATTCGTTTTTACAACAAACTCCCAAGCGAAATTAAAGAATTATCACTAAATTAATTCAAAGCCCTCGTTAAACGTAAATGATCCTAATCCTGGGGATTGATTTGCTCCAATTCAAACAATTTGTATGACTCAATACTTGGCGATTAAAAAGAGTTTCTTGCCAGTTCTTCTTGCCCGTACTACGCCCTTGACTTGCGAACTGGTAAATGTAAATTTACAATTAATTTAACTTTTTTTTGACGTTTATAAGTGTACTTGTTTACCTATATGAAAAAGATATTTTGAGTTTGAGTAACTGTGGTCCATAGTTTATGACAAAGCCGATCGGAACATTTGATTATATTCCTTTGCATTTCGCTGTGGTTTTGATATAACGCAATGAATGCTTTTGAAAATGCTTGCCTATTTAATTAATTAAATTCCTCCCTCCACCATATATTGTTTATTGAATGTTTGTGTGTATGAACTCTTTGTGATTATATAAAGGCAAAGTATTATGTTATCAATCTCACATTGTTCCTATACTATTTGTTTCCTTGTTCCTGGCCAATGTGTGCCTTTTTCGTTGTTAGTTCGAGTCAAGGATAATATCGGGCTATGTACTCAATGCTTATATTTATTGTTAACTAGCCGTTTCGCGCCCGCTTTGCTGGACGAATTAAAATAAATTTTATGTTTCATTATTTTATTTTTTTTCATATTTTTATTGTTCTTCTTTTTAACTTCCCGCTAAGAAAATTGAAATATTTCGAAAAACGAGTTTTTAACAGATGTTGACGTTAAGAGGTTCTAGGAAGGCTCCCCGAATGTTTTCGCGGTGAAGTCCGTATGGATAAATTTTCATAAAAGTAAAACAGCAATAAATAAATAGCCATAAACCATCTAGGAAAAATTTTGCATCGAATGGTGGTAGTTTCATGTCGATACGATCAGTGGTTTAGGCGTGAAGGAGCCTCAAACGAAGACCATTTTTCTTTTATATATATATAAGATTAACTATGTATCAACGACCTCCGAACCATTCTTTGCAATGTAAGAGAATGTAAAATAAGGGGAAAAGTACGAATTTTCTCTGGGCCTCAGATTTGTATATCTGATTTGTGATCAATGTTTTTTTAATATTTAGCTGCTGTAACACGGTCTAAGGCATACGCGTGTTATTGAGATATTTCCTTTACCGTACGAGAAAATGTTAAATGCAGTCATAAAGTGCATTGGTGCACAGCCGGGGTCCAAACCTAAGCCTTCAAGGATGACAGTAGCACGAGAAAACCACTAGGCCAACACGGCTCGATATTATAAGATAGTTTTAATATAACTAAAATGAAAATCATAGAGCAGTGTGGTCCTAGTGATTTCAGCGTGCGACTCTCATATCTGAGGTCGTAGGTTCGATCCCCGGCTGTGTACCAATAGACTTTCTCTCTATGTGCGCATTTAACATTTGCTCGAACGGTGAAGGAAACAATCGTTAGGAAACCGACATGTTTTAGACATGCTTATTAGATTTAAAAATGATCATGAAACAGATTCATAAATCTGAGGCCAAGGTCTAAAGAGGTTGTAGTGCCACGGATTTATTTATTTTTACAATGAAAATTACCAGTTAAAGATATATATCAGATGAGCCTAGTAGACGAAAATTGGGTCGGCTGATGGCGACGTGTATCTCGTATACATATATATTAAGTTTCTCATGTAAATAAAATGCATTATTTTTTTGTAATGAGAAATAAAGTTCTTTAAACATTAACTTGTTCAAGATTTTGTTTTCATTAGGTCTTTAGAACAAAATACATTACTTTGCACACGTCACAAAACAAAAATTACTACCATTACAACACAAATAAAAGCTCAAATCACCGAGAGGGCTTCTTAAGAGATTCTAACGGATTTTACAATTTATTGCGCTGAGAACGCATTTTCAATTTACCTATTTTTATAGGCTACTTCATTCTTGAAAACACCTGTGCGCTATTAGAACAGTGATTGTTATTTTATAGGAGGCAACTCTTTCGAGTTCCATAGAACAGTATTCTCACAACTAGTTAATAGGTTTTTATTTGTTGAGTTAGCGATAAAAACTATCTAACCTAACTTAAAAAAAAATCAGTGGCGCTACAACCTTCTAAACCTGTTTCATCGCCATTTGTCAATCTAAATAGGCAAGTAGGTGATCAGCCTCCTGCGCCTGACACACACCGTCGACGTTTTGGGTCTAAGGTAAGCCGGTACACAATATTTCTTTCACCGTTCATGTTAAATGCGCACATAGAAAGTCCAAGTGCACAGCCGGGGATCAAACCTACGACCTCAGGGATGAGAGTCGCACGCTAAAGCCATATGTCATTTCACTGCTATTTCCTCAAAATCAAAATAAAATAAATTTATTTATTTCCTATTTTTACAGTAACTTAATACTAATACAATAGAAAACTAACTTTAAACATAATATAAACATAACTAGTAAAAACTTAAAAACCTAAACCATTTTATAACTAATTATAAATAATGCAATTCTTGTGAATTCAGCCTGTGCAACTAAATATATCCGTCTCACAAGCAATAGTGTTTAGGGTGTGCAAGACACGCGTAAATGGTGCTTCTCTGAGTAAGTTCGTACGCGCCCGAGGCACTGCCAGCACTTGCGACCGCTTACCCCGCCGAGTGTTAAATTAATATTTTTAAATAAATTAATAAAACTCTTACCGATAAAATCGTGTAAAACTCCAATGAACAAATATAATATTTCACATTCTCTAACTCAATCAAGAAAAGAATGTACTTACCAAGTTTTATAAGGCCGGCACTTGGGAGCCTTCTGGAAGTGGGCCTCCTGCCCGTTTTCCTCTTATTATAAAAAAGTGCGTGCGTACCAAGTACACATGTCAGAAGTAAAACTTCTTTGGCAAACTAATTTTTAAGTCTTGTTCATATTTACACAAATCTAAAACTTTAGATTTCCGAGGCTTATGGGAGGGCAAAACGAAGATATCATAGGAGTTTAATGAATTTTGTCATTAAAATATTAAGTGTCGAAAATTAATATAAATTATATTTTTTTCTTTAATAATAAAAACACGTGGCATTTTAATTTACAATTCGTCATTTGAGATTACAATCAATCATTTTGCATAAAATATTATTAAATACTAATATTTCATAAATTCTCTTTACGAAATATTAATTTTAAAAATATAATTTCTATCAAGAATTCGCCCTTCTCACTCTCTCAATCGCTCTCTCCCTTTTCTTCGACAGAAACGCTGCACATCTTCGTGACGTTTCATCCGTAAAAAAATTACCCTCATGCGCCCTAAAGAAGGTTCACTTCAAAAATATGATGACTATGTTCATTCAGACATATTTTTAAAACTCTAATAACTTGATAATTATTATTACATAAGATATAACACAGTTCTAACCATCCGCCATCTTGTCTGTCAAAAGGTTCCGATGTATACTTTCTGACATATGTTTAACCGGTTAACGACAAAACGAATAACAAATTCGGTTTGTCGTTGAATAAAAGGTTTAAACACCGTTTAACTTTTTGTTATTGCGTTGCATAGTTTTTTCATTTTTAATCGACTTAAAGTAGTGGCATTTCAAATCTCCTATCCTATCTACATAGATAAAATTCGTAGGCTAGAAGTCTTGTTATCTAGGATTCGTATTTTGTTCTAAATGAGTATTTACCGTAGTGTAAACTACGACTGAAATAGATGAAGGCGTAGCATATCTTAATTTATAATTACCCTGATTTAGTTATACTAAACTATTTGACATTTTATCGAACACGCAGTTCGAGTTCGAGTTCGAGTTTTACCCTTTAATTTATTTGTTACAGACAAATTCAAAGGGATAATAGAGGAGCCAAAGGAATAGTAATAAAACCATCTTACAAAGGAGTTTTGGGACAGCCCGTCGAGTTTATAGGTAATTACAAGGCTTGAAAAGTTAATCTTTAATTAATAAGCAAATTGAAATTAATTTTAACTTTGCCTTTGATAGGTCAATTTTCAACTGTGTCAAATGTCAAAATGAATTTTGACAGATTTTTTTGTTTTTTGATTATTTTACCTACACTACACGAATTCATGTAGATAAAGGTAACTTTATCTACATGAATTCATGTAAAAACTTAGTTTTTAAATATTTGAAATTCAATAATATTACATGTTTTGAATGAGAACCGTAGCTAGTGTCATTTGAGGTCGCAAGAGTAGGTACAAATTTTTAACTAAATTAAATAAAACTGAAAAAGTGACACCCTTTTCCAACGACGCTATAAACATACAGAAATCTTAATATTATATATAAATTACGCGTCACGTTGTTTGTCCGCTATGGACTCCTAAACTACTAAACCGATTTCAATCAAATTTGCAGTGCAGTTTGATCTAACTTAAAAGATAGATTACAACCCAATTTATATCCGCAATATTATTTTATTTCAAATTATCTGTTTATTATTTGACAGTCACAATTCTAACAGATGGCGCTGTGTTGAAAGTGTGAAACGTTGGTGCTTAGCTACGATTTAATGGCATCACCACCAAAAAAGCATGGTGGTCCCCCATGACTGGTGTTCTCCTACCGTTTCCCTTGAATAGTTTGCTATGTAATATAACAAAATTTTTAGCCACAGCAACGCTTGGCCAAGTCTGTCAGTAGTATTATACATATCTTAACAATAAGCAAAAAAATTTGAAGTGTATATATTTATTATACATTTCTTTGTAACATTTATGTTTAACATAATTGTCACGTATTTTAAAAAATATAGCTTGTAACATATACTGTAGATATAACAGTATATATAATGTGGTGAACTTTAATAAATTAACTAGGTACTTTTAATTACCTATATAACTCAAACGGTGAGCAGTGTTGGCCTAGTGGCTTCAGCATGCGACTCTCATCCCTGAGGTCGTAGGTTCGATCCCCGTCTGTGCACCAATGGACTTTCTTTCTATGTGCGCATTTAACATTCGCTCGAATGGTGAAGGAAAACATCGTGATGAATCCGTGCTATGGCTGGAACTTAAATATTGATAACCAATTTTATTGTTTTTGTGTACGTTTTTAATGAAATACTGCAATAGTATAAGATCCCGATATACAACGACCTTCACCGAGATGCTTATTTAATGAAACGTATTTTATATTTAATTTAATATGTCAATAAATATAATCCATATGGGTTGCCTAGCAAATTTCAGTCCAGAGTATGTTTAATTATATTTAAAAAAAAAAAAATTATAATTTGCATGTAGTAAATTTTTTTAATTTTTTTCAATCAATATTTTTAATCAGGGTAGTATTATATATGTATCATTATAACTTTCTTTTTTACTAAAGATGTACATATACTTTAGTGTCACATAAAAAATATACACATAAATAATTAATTGATTAAAAACAACCTAACGTTTGCATATTCAATGGGCTTCATACTTTCGATTGGTATAGAATTTATCAATCAATCATACCGGTGAAATGTTAATTTTTTTTTTTTTTAATATTAATTAAAATACTCTGGACTGAAATTTGCTAGGCAACCCATATGGATTATATTTATTGACATATTAAATTAAATATAAAATACGTTTCATTAAATAAGCATCTCGGTGAAGGTCGTTGTATATCGGGATCTTAGACCACAAGAATTGAGTTAAGAAAACGCCTTATTACAGTGGACGCAAGCGGCGCTGGTCCTGGTCAACTGGAGCTTGAAGTATCTGGCGGTAATGGATCCTTAGTGGCCAGCTCTGTCAGGTCTCTCGGTGGAAATCGATACAATGCGGCATTCACGCCGACGGTACTCCGGCCGCATAACGTACGGGTCACATTTAACAACGAACATGTACCAGGTGAGGCAATTTATTACTAGGATTGCGTAGGATACATTGTTCAATGTATCTAAAAACGATTTGCGTAATACCTAGGGCTATATTTGTGCTGCAGAAGCGGGCCGTTCGGGGTATTTGTTGTGTTTCTCCGAGGGAGTCAGTACGGAATAAGTTTAAGGAATTAAATATTATGACACTATCTGGTCAATATATTCTTGAAGCCTTATTGTATGTACAAATATAAACGATTTTAAAACAAATTGTGACTTTCACCAGTCACCAGAAACAGAATTAATTTGAGTGTACGACCAACTAGGCTGCAGAAGATTAACCAATTATATGGAAATTATTGTAATCGTTTTGACAACAAACTCCTAAGCGAAATTAGAGAATTATCACTAAATAAATACAAAGCCCTTGTTAAACGTAAATTAATCAATAAAGAATACTTAAATGATTAAATGATACTTTTTACACAGCTTTTCTTTAATACTTAAATTTGTCTAGTATAAATATACATATATACATCTCGTCCATCTTTGGATGTTATCGTTACCGTAAAATGTTAAAAATGTACAATTTCCCAAGTAAAAAGTGCTAAAATTCTAGTTCCAAATATTAAGATTTTTAGTGTAACATTTTTGCCTCGTACACCGCCTGGGGCTTGCCGTCGCGTAACACTAATGCGATTACTCCCATACGCTAGCGAATATATTTTGGACTTCTAAAAATTAAATTCCCTTGAAAAATCATATTTTAGGCAACACACTATATACCTTATGATGGTTTATTTATTAACAAAAGCTTGCCAACGCTCGGCACATTCATTCATAAGAAAAATAAAATACAAGATTTAATTGGACAAGCACTTATAGCCAAACATAATAAACACGAAGAGAAAATATATATTCATAAATTATAGAACTAAAGGATTGTTTGAAATTGATTTCAAAGTGTGAGAGGAGCAGCTATGGATATCCAGACCTAGCTTGTTTATCAGAATGCTCAATCTGGATATCGGTGAGTTTTGGGCAAAACGCTCTTCTAAAAGGAGGGACCATATGGGATTATATTGATGTAATTAATTTCGGATGTAACTAGTCATCAGATCTGGGCTTCAGATTTATGAATCTGTTTCATGATCTTTTGTAAATCTAATAGAGAAGTGGGTGATCAGCCTTTTGTGCCTGTCACACGCCGTCGACTTTTTTTGGTCTAAGCCTCACGATGTTTTCCTTCACCGTTCGAACGAATGTTAACTGCGCACATAGATAGCCGTGGGGTTCAAGTGCACAAGCGCTGATTAAAGATTTAAGTTGGCACCTGGCAGTACCGGTGACCAGAGCTGGTCCTTGTCTGTTCTGATTCGCGTATTATACTGGTGAAAGTCACCATTTGTTTTAAAATCGTTTATATTTTTAGTACATACAACAAAGCTTCGAGAATATATTGAGCAGATAGGGTCATAATATTTAATTCCTTATACTTATTCCGTACCGACTCCCTCGGAGAAACACAACAAATACCCCGAACAGCCCGCTTCTAACTGCCACAGGGACCAAACTGTTTAAATTTGTTTTAATTTTCAATTCATCAATTTTTAATTATAATTACTATGTAGTGTTTTGGCATGATACTACATCTTAATATATATAAATTACGTGTCACGTTGTTTGTCCGCTATGGACTCCTAAACTACTGAAACGATATCAATCAAATTTGCACACCGTGTGCAGGTTGATCTAACTTTAAAGATAGAATAGCTTACATCTCAATTTATACCCGCAATATTATTTATTGCAAATTATTTGATAGTCACAATTCTAACAGATAAGCTACAACTTAATGACATAACCACAAAGCATGGTGGTCCCCATGACTGGTGTTCTTCTACCGTTTCCCTTGAATAGTTTGCTACTATGTAATATAACAAAAACCTTAGCCACAGCAACGCTTGGCCGGTCTGCTATTAGTATATAAATAATTTCTAGATAAAGAAGACTGTTATACTAAAAACGTACGAGGCAAGGCTGTACGTATATATTTTGCTTACTCAGGCTTTCTTATAAGCGCGGCTATTACGTAAATCATCAGAATTTCGCATATTCAGCAGTTAAATTACATAGTATTCATTATTAAATATGGTTTCCTTAACGCGGGGTTATAATAATGTGAAAAGTGTATTTATACATTATTTTTTATAAACTCCCCTAGGGACCATACATAAACCAATAAACGAAGCATATAGCGAATTGTGACATTTTTCCCTCTAGTCATAGTAATCTTCTAATATATAAAATTCTCGTGTCACAATGTTCGTATACCTCCCATACTCCTCCCTTACTCGACAGATTCTTATGAAATTTTTTATGCATATTTAGTAAGTCTGAGAATCGGCCACTATCTATCTTTCAAACCTCTAAGTGATAAGGTGTCCACCCCAAAAAACTTGTTTTTATCTTTTTATGATACATACAACACCCAATTTTCACCCCTCTACGATCAAGCCCTTTTTTATTATAGTAGATAGTTATTTTTATTGAACTAAAAAAATGTTTCCTACAAATAATATACATAGCAAAACAACGTATGCCGGGTCAGCTATATACAGTATATTATATTAAAGAACATAGTTCTGAGTGTTGAGTTTCTGCATAGCATAAATTGTGACAACAGAAGAACTAAGACTCTCATATATGTCAAAATCCAATACATTTTAGACATACGGTTACATAGGGTCTGTTTCACAATGTACGGATAAGTTCTACATAAGTTCCAAATTAGCTATTTATTACTTATTGGTGGGATAAACACTATTGTTGCGTTTCACGACTGTCAGATAGCGCTATTCGTCACATAAAGTCCATCATAAGCTATGAGTCCGATGAAGTGTCAAATGGCACAATTTATCTTCCAAATAATTGATGTGTTGCATAGCTATTTGGTACTTTATCCATACCTTGTGAAACAGACCCTAAATCTAAATCTCACATAGTTAAAGTTACCAATTTTGGTCTCCATTGCGGTGTAAACCGTACCTATATCATCATCATATTAGTGGATTGGATCACTGTGGACTACCAGAAGCAGTGGACACATTACAAAAATTAAATACAATTTGCGCTCTGGACGGTACTCTATCCCAGCCGTCAGGCACAGCTCAGAGCTAAGGGAATTAAAATAATAATGAGGTTTTATAAGTATTTTTTTGCTAAGCAACTGGCATTGGTAATATAGTTAGTGAAATTTACAAGATTTTTTATTATATTCGAAAGCGAAATTAATTTTTGTGCCAAAATCTTAAAGTAATGCTAGCTAACTATATCGACTGGCACACTGTAGGTTCTCGGATTCCCGACGCCATTTTGAATACCTGTGTGACGTCACGCGTGGGCGCGGACAGGTCGCTTGCGCATTCACATTTAAACCGCAGTGGAGGCTAAGCCTCTCGTACAAAATGTACGAATATAATGCACGCAAAATCTCTGTGATCTTTTGATTAAGAACATTTGAATTGTGATTAAGTGTGTGTGATACTGTGTAGTGTGTTGTGTGTCTTGGATTTTGAAGTAAGTGTTCGAATTCATTATGTGGGTGAGACACGTCACACTTAAAACCTATAGACTAGTTACCTACATGCATAGCTTTTGTTTCCGTGTTCCAAATTTGAAAACATCGTGTCACGAACCACCGAACGTAGATTATAGATTCTATTTTTGAATATCTTTAAACTACTTGTTCTCACTTAGCTATGCGTAAATGTTTAAATCTCTCTCTAAAGATTCATAGTTTACGAACAGCGTTTTATAACTATTAACTAGTCAATTAAAACAAAATTCTGTCACAATATATTTTTATAGTGATGTTTCATAATTCCTAAGATAAATATCACATTAGCTTATGTAAAAACACATATCTGAGAAATTTTAATTATTGATTTACGTAATATTGAAAGTCCAATATGTTTTACTTAGATCAGTTTCTAAAGATTAATGCAGAAGCTTGTTCAAGTGTTTTACAACACTTCAATGACAAAATTTGTGTTTTATAGCTTCGAAATTTCATTCTCTTTTTGGTATTGAAATCTTTATAATTTACTACTGTTATCAGTAAATTAAGTATGTGATACTCAACTTTAACGAAGTCAGAACAGTTTTAATACGTGTGAAATTAAATAAAAACCTTGGATGCAAGCTTTAAGAATAAATAAAATAAATCAATAACCTGAATAAATGTCTGCCCGAGTCACTATATTTATAATATACTAGCTGAACCGGCAAACCTCGTTTTGCCATATTATTTCTAGGAAACATTTTTTTAGTTCAATAAAAATAACTATCTACTATATTAAAAAATAGGGGTTGATCGTAGAAGGGTGACAATTAAGGGTTGTATGTATTTTTTTGCTGAATCATAAAAAAGTTAAAACAAAAAGCTTGGGGTGGGACCCTTAACATTTAGGGGGATAAAAAATAGATGTCCGATTCTCAGACTGACTGAATATGCATAATTTTTTTTCTTTAATTAATTTCGGAGGAGTATGGGAACGAACATTGTGACACGAGAATTTTATATATTTGATAGTTAAACAATGTTTATTATTTATAAAATAATTAATAATAATATAACTTAATAAACACTGCTCATTAGATTTGTCATGAGTTACCATTTAGTTCATTAAATTCAATTTGAAAGGGACAATACAAACAACTGATTTCTGAACTACAGAACTTATACTAAGTTTGGTGTTCTCTAATGAGGGTTGAAGTTTTTTAGCTTGCTCGTGAATGAAGTCTTGAACGTATAAACTTAGTTTACTTTCTCAAATTATTAATACATTTGCATAAGTTATTAAAGCCTTTATAAGTAATCAGAAAGAACACAGACAGAACGCCAATCGGCTATTTACGGAAACGAATCATATTAACGGTCACTAGGGGCAGAAATAGGGGCACCAGGCCCTTAACAAAACCGTTGGACGTGCTTAATACTATCTCAGAAACAATAGACATTATATGTTCGCAGTGCTAATTCGAAAAGC